CGACAGTTTCTTTGACCATCGCGATGTATGGGCAAAATCGTTGAAGGGGAAATGTCTCATTGGATTGAGACTAGTCCTGTACATTACCACGGCTGGGCGGGGAAAGGAAGAGGTGGCGTGACCCACATGGGCTAGCAATTTCTTATCACGATCAAATTCTGGAAATGCTGGGACTGACTATGAAGGAAGGAAAATGAAAAACAAACGTTGGAATCGGTGACAGGAAGTGGGAAAGGAGAGATACGATGAAGGCAGTGTTGAGAGGGACGACTGAACGTCCCGGGTTTGGTGGTGTAATGGCAGCACGCCTGACAGGCAAGCAGGGGGCCTGGGCTCAATTCCCGGCCGTCCCCGGGCATTATTTCGTCCTTTCTTGTCCAGCCATCTCCATACCATCAGAAGGAGGGAAGATGAGAATATTTAATCCTCTTCTGTTTCTGTCTTCGGCTCGATCTCATACTGGTGCATGCTTTTTAATTTTTAACTTGCTCTGGGGCATTTTACCTCTTTACTTGAACCAAAGTGAACTTTTTACATAGACATCGCTTGAATCTAAGACTGTAGGGATGTTTCGGCAACCGCCGGTATGGCACCATCGGCAGGTTTGTCCTCTGCCAGTGCCGATGTCAAAGAAGACCGCGTAGATCGAAGGAAATGAGAGAAAAAAAATAGCTACGTGAACGGGCTTGGCAACTGATTCTCAACGGCAAATGCCTTGACTTGGCTTTGTTTACAAATGTCACAAAATGATTTCCATCAGTTCCGGCTTCCTGTCAGCTTCCGAGGAAAAGGCCCTAATCGCCAGAGTTGCGGTGGTGCTTCGCGCCGCAGCTGTTGGGAGGGAAGATGAGAATATTTAATCCTCTTCTGTTTCTGTCTTCGGCTCGATCTCATACTGGTGCATGCTTTTTAATTTTTAACTTGCTCTGGGGCATTTTACCTCTTTACTTGAACCAAAGTGAACTTTTTACATAGACATCGCTTGAATCTAAGACTGTAGGGATGTTTCGGCAACCGCCGGTATGGCACCATCGGCAGGTTTGTCCTCTGCCAGTGCCGATGTCAAAGAAGACCGCGTAGATCGAAGGAAATGAGAGAAAAAAAATAGCTACGTGAACGGGCTTGGCAACTGATTCTCAACGGCAAATGCCTTGACTTGGCTTTGTTTACAAATGTCACAAAATGATTTCCATCAGTTCCGGCTTCCTGTCAGCTTCCGAGGAAAAGGCCCTAATCGCCAGAGTTGCGGTGGTGCTTCGCNCCCCCCCCCCCCCCAATCTTTCCCTCGTACATGCGGCACGACGCCACGCTGCGACTGGGCAGTGGGTATCAAGTAGGAGGACTGTTACGATAGGGTATCGACAGTTTCTTTGACCATCGCGATGTATGGGCAAAATCGTTGAAGGGGAAATGTCTCATTGGATTGAGACTAGTCCTGTACATTACCACGGCTGGGCGGGGAAAGGAAGAGGTGGCGTGACCCACATGGGCTAGCAATTTCTTATCACGATCAAATTCTGGAAATGCTGGGACTGACTATGAAGGAAGGAAAATGAAAAACAAACGTTGGAATCGGTGACAGGAAGTGGGAAAGGAGAGATACGATGAAGGCAGTGTTGAGAGGGACGACTGAACGTCCCGGGTTTGGTGGTGTAATGGCAGCACGCCTGACAGGCGAGCAGGGGGCCTGGGCTCAATTCCCGGCCGTCCCCTGGCATTATTTCGTCCTTTCTTGTCCAGCCATCTCCATACCATCAGAAGGAGGGAAGATGAGAATATTTTATCCTCTTCTGTTTCTGTCTTCGGCTCGATCTCATACTGGTGCATGCTTTTTAATTTTTAACTTGCTCTGGGGCATTTTACCTCTCTACTTGAACCAAAGTGAACTTTTTACATAGACGTCGCTTGAATCTAAGACTGTAGGGATGTTTCGGCAACCGCCGGTATGGCACCATCGGCAGGTTTGTCCTCTGCCAGTGCCGATGTCAAAGAAGACTGCGTAGATCGAAGGAAATGAGAGAAAAAAAATAGCTACGTGAACGGGCTTGGCAACTGATTCTCAACGGCAAATGCCTTGACTTGGCTTTGTTTACAAACGTCACAAAATGATTTCCATCAGTTCCGGCTTCCTGTCAGCTTCCGAGGAAAAGGCCCTAATCGCCAGAGTTGCGGTGGTGCTTCGCGCCGCAGCTGTTGGGAGGGAGGGGATGGGGGGGGGGGGGGGGGGGGGGGGGGGGGGGGGGGGGGGGGGGGGGGGGGCGCCATCGGAACTCCTTGCCCTGGGCGCCGATGTGGTTTTTGTCCCAGGGGCGCCAGGGGGGGGCGGTTGCCCCCCGTAAAATACGCCACTGTTCCTGGGAGTGGGAGGAAAGCGGGACCAGCTTGAAGAATGCTTTTTAGAGTAATTGCTGGCCTAGAGTTAGATTACCACTTTAACTTATTGGCTAACCGGGTTCATTCTCCTAAACTCGCGGGCTTATGAAAATTATGCCTCCTACTAGTGGGATTCCAAATTCCCCAAAATTCTAGAGAACCCCGCGACCTATATTTTACTTCAAAAGAGTTAATAAAAATTTTGTCAGTGCTGCGGTCAGTCATCAGTGTAAGGTGCTAACCTTTCCCTGTTTTCGGATTTAATTGAATTCTCCACTACCCCGGGGTAGTGGAGAATGGAGAAACTACTACTTCCAGTGGATCCGCTTTTCATTAGACGATAAAAAAAAAAGTATTTGTGAAAGGTGTCACTACCCAAGCAACACATACATGGAAATGACGTCCATGCGACGTCATGTGCTGCTTGGGTACCTGCAATCTATGGAAGCGCTCCTATGTACGAATCCAATCCGGGAACATTGAAGACAATGGTGCAGGCATGGGAGGAGAGTATTGAGGGCAGCAGCACAGGGGAACATGATTAACCCAATAAGACCCAAAGATCGAGGTGAAAATCGAGAAGGAAGCGAGAGAGTTAGGAAACGGAGAAGGATGGAAGACATGATAATATCGCGGAAACAAATGAAGATTTTCCGAAGAGATGTTCCTTATTTTACTCAGAGATGTAGAGCAAAGGGTTGGGGAAAAGATAGTCATCTCCAGACGGAAAGATTTTAGCGAGTTGTTCTTAACTTACGAGCTGGCCATGACGTCATTTTGAGGTAATTTCACTCGGCAGAGGTGACGAATGCAACCCAAGATAGTTTGACTTTCCACTGTCACTTCATAGAGGCGCCCCTAACCAAAGCAAGATGGCGCCCGCCCGGTACATTGCTCCTCCCAGATTCATGCAGCACACCTCTGTAGTGTCTATTAGATCCCCCCCATCACCAATCGTGTCAATTGAAATAAATTAGTGTTATTTTGTAAACCACATCTCAATTTTGGTGGATTCCTTCTTTTTCCCATTAGCTTACACCCCTGGTCCAATGGGACTACGATTATCTTTTAGCTCTTCGCCATCTCGAATTATCCCACAGTGAAATGGAAATCTGTCCCCTAGCAGTGCGAAACGTGTAACTGTGGAAAGAATGTCAACTCCTGAACAGGTTCATTAATAAATTGCATCCTCCAATTTCCTATAAGAACCTTGCATTTCAAGCAGCAGCAGCTAATACTTTGCCTAATGGAATGCAGCATTCTTGTTGTAATATTGTATTATCTTTACCTTTATACCTCACTGATGCTTCTTATTTTATTATCACCTTCATTAATTTAATCAACTGGCCCCCTTGCCGCTACCAAAGAAATAGTGTCTGCTTTGGGGCATTCAATTCTTTTAAAAAGTATTTCTCTATGTCAAATGATCAGTGCACAAATAACACCATACTTCTTTGCTTTGAGAGAAGTATACTAGCAATTTTGAAGTTTTCATCCACAACGATTTCTTTCTCTGTATTTTCCTTTGTATGCATTCTGAAATGATGTGTTACTCCTATTTCTTGACATAACTTGACCTTGAGGTCAAGGAGCCAGTTTCCATGACGTCATTTTGAGGTAATTTCACTCGGCAGAGGTGACGAATGCAACCCAAGATAGTTTGACTTTCCACTGTCACTTCATAGAGGCGCCCCTAACCAAAGCAAGATGGCGCCCGCCCGGTACATTGCTCCTCCCAGATTCATGCAGCACACCTCTGTAGTGTCTATTAGATCCCCCCCATCACCAATCGTGTCAATTGAAATAAATTAGTGTTATTTTGTAAACCACATCTCAATTTTGGTGGATTCCTTCTTTTTCCCATTAGCTTAAACCCCTGGTCCAACGGGACTACGATTATCTTTTAGCTCTTCGCCATCTCGAATTATCCCACAGTGAAATGGGAATCTGTCCCCTAGCAGTGCGAAACGTGTAACTGTGGAAAAAATGTCAACTCCTGAACAGGTTCATTAATAAATTGCATCCTCCAATTTCCTATAAGAACCTTGCATTTCAAGCAGCAGCAGCTAATACTTTGCCTAATGGAATGCAGCATCCTTATTGTAATATTGTATAATCTTTACCTTTATACCTCACTGATGCTTCTTTTTTTATTATCACCTTCATTAATTTAATCAACTGGACCCCTTGCCGCTACCAAAGAAATAGTGTCTGGTTTGGGCATTCAATTCTTTTAAAAAGTATTTCTCTATGTCAAATGATCAGTGCACAAATAACACCATACTTCTTTGCTTTGAGAGAAGTGTACTAGCAATTTTGAAGTTTTCATCCACAACGATTTCTTTCTCTGTATTTTCCTTTGTATGCATTCTGAAATGATGTGTTACTCCTATTTCTTGACATAACTTGACCTTGAGGTCAAGGAGCCAGTTCCTAATGGAAGACACAGCCGACCATGCCTAATGCCGTTCTAAGTGACTACAGTTCATGCAGGGATTGACAAGATGGATAGCCAAGTCCAGTTCTGTGTGAGGGCTAACCAGTATGGGCTAAATTTATTGGAATTTGGATAGCAGAGAAATAAACAGATTTTCCATGCAATTTGAATTTTGATGGAAGATGTTTTTCTTCCTATGCTACATATATGTAGAAGTGGGAAGTACAGTCTTCCCCCTTTGGATTAATTGATGCTAATACCTTCCTATCTTTTCTCTGCCCTTGAAGGATGTGTGTGGGCAGGTCTAATTTTGCTCTGTTTTTTTTTCTTGTGACTGGTGGTGGGAGAATCATATCTTGATCTAACCTAGGGTGCCACTATGTATCCTATAGTATTATACCCTTTTCTTTCTCAGGATTGATCTGCTATGGATAGTGTCAATCAACACTGAATTCACTAGGTTATAATTCAGTGCCTTAAAGGGTATACTTTATGATATAATGCACCTGAAACTGAATGCCTACACTGGATAAATTACCTAGACATAACGCTTTTCAAGACATCATAGGCCTGAAGAATTGTGACATTGAGTGACTGCATTTTTTGCTAAAAGAGGCAGCTATCAAGATGGAGCCATATGATGTTATGGTAAACCAGCCTGTGGTGATAGACAATGTGAGTGGTTTAGACATATTATGACTGGCTATCATAATTGGATGAACTCATTGTGGTTTGTTTGTGGAATGAAATTGAAGTTTGAGATGTCACTGTGAAGCACTAGCAGGAATAACGTTTAAAGTAATTATATAAAACTTTATAACATAATACATTTTGCTCATGGGCTTATAGAAGATATTGTGAATGTACTCCTTTTTTGGCCAGCTGGTATATATACAAAACCAAGTGTAGGCTCTCTGGTAATTAGACACATCTCAGTTATTTCATGTCAGTGATGCTTGAATTAGCCATTGCAACTGAGACAGTAAAGTTGAGTGGGTGTATAAAATAAATGCTCATTTGCTGAATGCATTGAAAGAATATTAATCTTCCTATTTACCTACTGGTTGTCTCATGTTGGGGCTAGACCTATGTCTTGATGCAGTTCTGCCTTTCCTTTGTATTTCCCACTGCTTATGCCTGCTGGTTTAGTAGAATCTCTCTGAAATCTAGAAATGTAATTTTCAGGTGTAATTCTCAAGGAATAAATATTGGTTCATGAATGGGAGGGTGACAGGAAGTTTTTAAGTGTACCATATAGTATTGAGCTGGAAGGATAATTAGTGAAATTTGAATTTGTATATATTAAAAAAAATAGATTCTATGTGAATTGTTTAACTATCATAATTATATATCAAAACTGTTTTTCTTCAACTTTCCAACATGAGAGAAAGTGATATCCTGAAAATACTATTTTCAGGATATCACTTTCTAACTTCACTATCACTTTCTAACCTAATTTGGTTTTAAATAACCTATTCTGGAAAATTCATAATTATTTTCCCTCTCATTCTCCAGGGCTCAGGAATCCTGAAAGCTGGCTTTGCAGGAGCACAAGTTCCAAAGTGTCATTTCCCAAATTAGTGAGTTATATCCATTGCATTGAGTTGCATCGTTATGAGATGCTGTGCCATTGATATTTGTTACCAGTTGATATCTGCTGTTCTTGGCACATGTAGGTATGATTTCCAGTGCCAGGAAGACTACTTCATTACCTTCTTTATTCTGATGGGACCAATTTTGAATTGAACTCCATGGTCTGAAGTAGACCATGCGATTTAGCAATGAGCTAAAGATGATTTGCATAAAGTCCTAAGAGGTGGTCTTGTATGTCAGGTGTTGGTGATGTTTCTGTCATTAAGAACTGTCATTTGGTATTGACATCTGAACATTAAAAATGAGGATGTGCATAATGACTACTGACATACTGGATTAAAATTTCATGATGTTGCATCTCTATATGCTTTGTTAATATGGAGGGTATGGGGGGGGGGAAAGGACCAGCTACTTTTATCCTATATATCTCTACTCTCACTAGAACTATTTTCATGAAGCTTGCTCTGTGCATAGTTTGATACTTACTCAATAGTCCTTCAAAATGTCATCCAATGTTGGTTTTGCCAAAGGAAGGCTACGAGTAATCACTCAAAAGAAATCGGAAATTGAAATGGACGGGATTCCAGTCTCTTCTGAGTGACTAGACCTGCACTTCCCTATAGCTCATTGATTTGTTGCATGGGTATTAGGAACAACCAGCAATATATTATAAGGAATAGCAAATCATCTTTGAAAAAAAGGTGTAACACAGTAGTAATCCAAGTTGCTGTTTCTTTTCACTTTCATCAGAGGCAATCTTCAATCAACTGTTAATATCTGCAAAGTTTGGAAATACATTGATGCCACTGCAGTTCTTGAAAGGATATTTGATTGGGATGTCAATGAGAAATACCAAAGACTTGTCACTCGTGTCCATGATTGGTCAATGGCACATAATTTCATTATGAATCCAGTCAAATCCAATGAACTAATTTTTTGTAATTGACATGTGACTTACTGAGCATTACTGAAAAAGAGTGGGTTGTCAGTGGGCCAATAATTGAACCTGTAAAATCAACTAAATACCTCTGAGTAAAAATTTACCAAGGGCTGACTTATGCACTTCTTGAGGATGATGCCAATGCAAAATGCTTCAGAAGATCTTTTCATACAGTCAGACTTTGACACTGAGAATGCCCAAGCCACAAAAGACCTTATCTTCATAGGTTCTAGCTGAGAAGTATGAGCAACATACTACATCAATACTGCCCCAAAAAGACTGATCTATCCAGTGCATAATGATTCCAATCAAAGCCTGTATTACCTGACTGCTAGCCATGTCCTTCACCTTTCATATACCTCCTGAAAGAAAACCAGAAAGATTAAGGCAAATCAAATCCATCTGTGTTTCATTTTTGTGAAAATGATGCCTTTAGAAAGGCTGAATATTTTTTTTGGACCATATGCCAAGGTCATCTCAATCTCTTTTTCACAGAAACAACTGAGACTTGTCTTTTCAACTGTCAGTATCTCTTTGTCTCTTGCCATTCTCACTCTCTCCTCCAGCTATGATTTCTTTAACTTATGATGACCTGAATTCTAGGAGAAATAAACTAAATTCAAATGAATAAATGGACTCAGCCTTCCTCATTCTCTTGTCAATCAAGGGAATACTTGGATGAATTTCAAGCATACATTCTGCATTCCTACATATTGATTCATTGAAAGAACCTAATCAAAACCATCAGCAAAAAAAAAAGGCCAGCCCAAGTAGTAAGTTTGAGTGAAAGAGAAGTTTTATGCGGCCTGGATTATAAGCAACCACTGCACAAAGGTGTTATACTCCTCTAGACTAGCAGCATGAGCTCTTGTCCATTTTCACCATCTTTATATATTTTTAAATATTTGTTCTTCATTGCCTCAGCACATGAAAAGCATCCTGAAAATAGTTCTAGTGGGATTTGAGATATGTAGGTTGGAAGTTGTCTGATATTTCCATACTCAATATATAGTATTCTGCATGTAACTGCAATCCAAAAGATCATGAATGGTGTTTTACCAATTGGCAGGAAAATCTTATGTATCTGGATAATAAAATACTGTATATGAGCTGCCATAAACAAAATGGATGACTGGGGTCCAACTCATTCATATTTCAGAGCACATAAACACTTTTTTTTTCTTCAGAATATAAGTTTAATTTATTCATTAAATGACTACATTTGAGCAATTAAAACAAATTAAATAATATGTCCAATGCATTATTCTCAATTACTTAGTCATTCTGCAATGGTGGTTAGTGCAGCTAACCTCTGCATGTAAAGGAAGAAAAAATTAAAGAAAGATGGTCAGCACTGCCATGTCTGAAAGAGTCAAAAGGAGGGAATCATGCAGGAAGGTGATATCAATGTTCAAAGATGTAACTAATAAAATTTTTTCCATACCTCTACCTTTATCTCCTTGTTTACTCAGTGGTTCCACGAATTGGGCCCTCTGTTAAATTAGCTGATGGATAACTCAAAATTATGATAAACATGCATCAGATTGTGTGTTATATTCATACTCCCTAAGAAATGTATTTGGAGGGCATTTAATTACAACTCTTTTTCTATTCTCCATATGAACCATGATGAAAAATAGTATGCTTGAGGTCTATACTAATGGCTCCAATGGATGCAATAATTTGACCTTTTCCACTGTAGCATTGGTCGGCCAAAGCATGTTCGTGTCATGGCTGGTGCCTTGGAAGGAGATGTTTTTGTGGGACCAAAGGCAGAAGAACACCGAGGGCTGCTCAGCATTAGGTACCCTATGGAGCATGGTATAGTAACAGACTGGAATGACATGGAGAAGATCTGGGCCTATGTCTATAGTAAAGACCAACTCAACATTTTCCCTGATGAGGTAAGAAGTCTTGCTCCTCATAGCAATTCTTGGTTTGTATCTTAACACATTGATGACCAGACATATGAAAACCCAATTTATGAAACTCACAGAAATCAGTGATCCGTCCTCATTGTGTTAAAAAATTATAATTTTTGTACATGCTTTTCAATTTCTTCTTTTGCAATCTTGAAAATTTTTAAATCCTGAGTAGTAGGCATATGCATGCCTTGATACATCTCTGGAATTGTTGCTCTATCTACTTATGATGGGCAATGCATGAGCTTTTTGGCATCTGTTTTTTCATGTAGCACCCAGTCCTCTTGACAGAGGCACCCCTGAATCCTCGGAGAAACCGGGAAAGGGCAGCTGAGATTTTCTTTGAGGGTTTCAATGTTCCAGCTCTTTTTGTTTCTATGCAAGCCATTCTCAGCCTGTGAGTTTCTTCCTGGTTCTTTTATTGCCAGTTTTCCTTCACCATAATTGAACATATAACTGCCTGTTGTTAGGTATTCGACAGGGCGTACAACCGGAGTGGTCTTGGACTCTGGTGATGGTGTGACACATGCTGTGCCTATTTATGAAGGCTTTGCTTTGCCCCATAGCATTGTGAGAGTTGATATTGCTGGTCGGGATGTCACCAGGTATCTCAGGTGAGTTGCAAGTTTTTTTTTCCATGGATTTTATAAATGTATACTAATTGAAAAGTTTGTCCATACTGTATCTAACCCCCATTAAGGTACTTATAGCTATCTAAACACTGAGGTGCTCATTGAAATTCCTGAATCATAAAATGAACATGTACACTAGTGTGTATGCCCATATGAAGAGACACCAAAAGAAAATGCAACATCCTGTTTTTAAGAGGTATTTTTCCTTCATTCACAGGTTGCTTCTTCGAAAAGAAGGCACAAATTTCAGGACAACAGCTGAGTTTGAAATAGTCAAGCAAATCAAAGAACAAGTGTGCTGCCTTACCAGTCACCCTGTAAGAGATGAAGCATCTGTGGAATCAGAGAAGACCAAGTACACTCTACCTGATGGAAGCACACTAGAGGTTCAATCTTTTGCTTCAGTCACATTTCATTTTTGTTCCAGTGATTTTATATTGCCTCATTTCATTGTTTACTTGTACTTACAGGTTGGGCCTGCAAGATTTCGTGCTCCAGAAGTTCTATTTTCCCCTGATCTCATTGGTGAAGAGTGTGAAGGACTTCATGAAGTTCTTATCTATTCCATCAGGAAGTCAGACATGGATCTGAGGAAAGTCCTGTTTCAGAACATTGTCCTCTCTGGTGGCTCCACGCTCATCCGGGTACAATCATTTGCTTCCAGTCTCAGTGATTTCAGCCAAGTAATGGAATTTTATTTATTTTTCCTTTATTTCCAGGGATTTGGTGATAAGTTGTTGGCAGAACTGAAGGCGATAGCAAAGGATGCTAAAATCAAGGTAAGTGTTGAGTTATGAGAAGGAAGGGATGGGTCAAAAACTTCAGCTTGTCACTTCCTTCAGGCAATTGCTGATACTGTCAGGTTTTGTATCATTGAATGTAAGCATCAACCCAGGACTGCAATAGTTTATTTCAATACCAGTAAGCCAAGAAATTAAGACCCTCTGTTGTAAGACCATTCTTAATAAATGCTTAAAATTCATTTAAGTTTGTGATGTTGCAGTCAAAGAAAAAGTGTGTACTGGGTGCAGAGAAGAAAAAAACACAACTGTTGGAATGTTTCTAGCAGAAAATTTGTCATTGCTACAGTGCTGCATGTTCTAGGATGTAAGCCCCTACATCTTGTACTCCATATCCTTTTTTTCCTTCAGAATTCTCCCCAGTTTGCCTTAGCCACAGAAGCACTTTGAAAATTTCTAGTAAAATGGTTTACGATCTCAACTGTTGCTTGTCTCTTGCTAAAAGAGGGAAGCTATTTCTCTTTATTGCTTTTGTGACAATTGGTTTGTGATTTCTCCATGTCATTGTGCACTGGCTTCTTTCAGAGTGTGATTCAGTAATGGTAACTCTGGCTCAATGCTATCATCAGGTGTGATAGCAAAACAGGCACCAATTTTACTGAGTCTCCTTGGACTCATGGGAATTTCCAAGTATTTTACTCATGAACTTCTAGGTGCTTGTGTGGCTAAACCAATGAAGGAAAATTTCTGGAAAAAAAGTATATTAAGGACAAGATGTACAGGGAGTCTCAAGAAAAAGTTAATGCTGTAATAAAGTATTTTTCTTGTATTATATTATATATATTGAAAAAAAACTTGTAGCAATTATAAAGGGAAGATAGTAAGCTTTCTTCTCCTGGAAATCACATGAAAATCAACCATTTCTGAAGCGAGATATGGAACAGTGAAAATTACATTAGAAGAAATTTACAAACCATCACAAGAGGACATCAAGGTGTGCTAGGTGAAATTACAGAGATAGGCCACCAAGAAGATTCTTTGATTCAACTAATTCTGCAGCATTTTTGCTGGCAGATGTCCAAGAATGGAGTGAAGAGTCTTCTGACATGGATCACTAGCTTTTTTGTGTGCCTGCACTACCTGGTTCTCTTCTGTAGGCTGCTTGCAGTGGTTCACCAGTATGTCTGTTAATGTAAATTTTGTCTTTCCATATCTCACCTCTGAGTTCATTGATCTTCGTGCAATTTACAGCAATCAAAAGCTCAAACTCTTCTCATTTCAACTGCCACAAATATTTCATTTGAATTTGATATCATACAAGAGATTTTAATTCTCATAGCATTAACTTTTTTTTAGACACCCTGTATATGCATGCTAGTTGCTAGTAGTATGCTAGGAACAAGCACATGCAGCTGTAACTTTGACTGATTTTCAGATGTAGGTGTTCCAACAGTGCCATGTTTTTTCTGTGTCCATTATGTGGACAGTGCTTTTTTGTGATACTTTCTTCTATTGCTTCTCTAGATATCAGCTCCACAAGAGCGACTGTATTCCACATGGATTGGAGGCTCCATCTTGGCCTCATTAGATACTTTCAAGAAAATGTGGGTTTCAAAGAAGGAATATGATGATCAAGGAGTGAAGGTGGTGCATCGAAAGACCTTTTAAACTCTCTCCTTTGTGATTATGGCTTTCTTTTTTCAGATTTTGTTGTGGATGTATGCAGTGAAGTCTTTTTCTACATAAATTTTTTCAGTGATATTTCCATCATCACTGTACCTACAACTGCTTGGATGATAATGACTATGAAAAAACATTATTTACTGGTTTCTTTTAGTTTTTATTGCACTAGAAATCTTCACACAGCCTTCATAACTTTCTCTGTTCAGTGCAGGCCTTTCTGCCTCCATTCCATTACAATGGAGTGAACAGTCAAACCATTGATAGCCAAATTTTTATCATTGGACATTTTTTACATCACCTCATATGAGTGACTTTCCCATTTATAGTTGGTCATGGTTTTCTCATCATTAATTTTGCCATAGCAGCTAGAAAACCTAAATCTTTGGTCCAAACCAGAGCAAAAATCATATGGGATCATATCCCTAAAACAAAAGTAAACAAGAAACTAAGTTGTAAGAGTCACTGAAATCAGTGATCCGTCCTCATTGTGTCACCATTTCCCTTCCAAGAAGCTGAAAAATAGTTTTAACAACTTATTTTTTAATCTAAATAAATGAAAACTTGAAATATCAATTATCAAAATATCAAATATCAATTGTTTGCTGCAAACCATATACATGTACATTCATTTGTTCATGATTTATTGATGATTAAAGTTATATGAATCTTTTATGGACACCCTGTATATTTTAAGCTTTGGAAAAGGTTCAGTTGGATGAGACATCCGCAATCAAGCTGAGCCATCCCCAAGAAGCAGTTCTTGGAGCTGACTTTCTCCTCATCACAATATCTGAGCAGTACACTACAATACAATGGTTTGTAACAATAAGCACAGGGTAACTTTTATACTAGTTCAGCTCCTCAGAGACATGTATCTCAGCATCTATGGGTTGTATGACCTTGAGTCTTTAAAGTAGTTCACTCTGCACCTTGGAGAGGAGGATTGTGGGTTCAACATGCTTGCCTCTAAGGGTGGAGATGTTAGACATCACATTGGTTGGAATAGGTACTAGTATAACGTTTAATATGTGCACCATTTTTCTTGAAGGCATTCATTCTTAGCAACCATTTCAACCAATGTGTGGCTGTTTCTTATTGGTCATGATATTGGACTCATAATCCTTTTCCCTGTGGTGTAGGGAAATGCTTCACCAATATTCAAGGTCTTAAGACCCATAAAGGCCAAGATATATTCACACTGTGGGGTATATTTGGGCCACTTTTAAAATCCCAATATTTTTTTACATGCTTCATATCACACACTCTTTTCCATTATCTTTGTTTTTGGGAAAGCAGGTTGAAATAAATCAAGAGAATCTAGAGATTTGAGGATTTAGAAATGTCAGGTCAGCAAATCTGTTGACTGTACTGATGAAGCCTTCCCTTGCAAGCAATTGTCATTTGTGCTTTGCAGTATGCAGCATGGTCTGGCTTACACAGATACTTTCATACAGTTATTATGTCTTGGTTTATGTTTCCCAATTTTTAGAGCTTTTTAGGAAAATTATATTTGTGAGCATTAACAATAGAACAGACAATAACTCCCAGGCCAATGGACAGAGAAGAATGTTCACACTACTTTGTGTTACAGTAAAATTGCAAGTAATGTGTTACTGTGACACATTACAAATTTTGGGGACAGGCCAGGGTTGGATTTAGAAGCAAGTGGATTCTTGCCCCCCCCTCCCCCACTTCCAAAACATTTTACCTGGTGGTGCAAATAGCCTAGAGGAGCCACACAGTCCAGCACTGGGTGGTGCAAATTTTGATTTGCATCATTGCTACTTTATGCAAAAATACATAAAGTATTCATTCCATCTCAAGAGATGGAATGAATATAGGTATTTTGTTTATTCTTATCAAGTTCATAAGTCATTGCAAGACTGCATTCCATGAAGTAGAAAAGCTATTTGAAAACCTTGGCTGGTGCTTCAGAAAAATCATAATGATGATGCCACCAGCACATGTCTCAAGTGTGTCTGAAGTACAGATCAATGATGAACAGCTCCAAGTACAAATTCAGTAATGGATTTTCACATTCTTTTGAGAACATGAAAAAAAAAGGAACTGGTCAGACAGGCACCACCACCATCAGATACAGAGTCTTCAGCTGATGGTAACAATGAGGATGGCATCTTCAAACAGGAAAAATCTGAGAAGACCTTGGTCACAGAAGTTTAGGTCAGAGAAGTAAGAATTGCCTTAATGTTGATGATACATCAAGATACTTAAATAATTTCCCTTGCTTGAAAAGATTCTCAATCAAATACAACACAGCTTTGCCATCCAGTGCTGCTGTAGAAAGGCTGCTTAGCCTTCCTTGACTGTCTTCTACATTAAGTGGAGCTGTCTGACAGATGAAAGCCTTGAAAACAATTGTTCTTGAGGGAAAATGCTGAAAAACTAAAAACCTTCAGCTCCAGGCACAGCTACTCTTTTTTGAAAAAAAGACTGTAAAGTCTCCATTCTTGTCCCTGTTCCATCCATTTACTTTTTATTTCAGTTTGGATTCGCCTATGATTGCGATAGTGAGCATGACATGGTGATGAAAAAGGAACTGTAACTGTAATGGGTTACTTTCTTAGAAAAAGATGGTAATTTGTTCCTTTTTCTGCCAAAGTTACTGTAACTGTAAATAGTTTGTTTTCAAAAGTAAAGTAGTTTCCCTGCTAATGAATGCAATTGCATTGTGCTTCTTATAGACATAATAACAAATAGTTAATGCAGATCTCCCTGCTGCATTTAGATGAAAATTTCCAAGGCCCTGGCACTTCACATGCATGAGTATAATTCTGATATCTTGTCTTCAGTAGGGCGTGTGCATCCAAAAGACAACCATGAGAATCCATAATGACTTTTGAGAGGAAACAATTTACCTTTACAGTTTTCAGAGACTACAATGGGTGATTATGTTGTACATGAAAGGGGGACCTTTTTAAGAGAACGACACCCTGAAGTTTATGCTATTTACTCTTACCACATCATCATTACTCCCTGCCACTGTGCAGGGACATACAAGATTGGATCACCTGAGTTTCATCCTGTTAAATTTTTTCTTGTGCTTTCTCTAAGAAAGTGCTGGTAATAGTTTCATCCCTTTGTATGCATAAATGGTTGTTGCAAATATTCTTGAAAACTGAGAGATTGAGTATACTGAGTAATTGGTATGTCTAGTACAGTAGCATAAAAAATATGATTTTTATTTCATAATTTTTATGGTAAAATTGATCTTTAATAGGGCTTACTCAGATGCTTGCATGCTTTGTTAGTGCTATTCATCTTATCATCTCTGACAGGACACAATCCCATTCTTTGGAAGGCTGAGTACAAGAAGATATTGGAGGACTTCACCATATCACTTATTTGAAATGTGTTGTGATGGTACTTGATGCAAGCCCAGGGTTCCAGGTCTGGGCAAAGTGGTCTTGATGAAAGTGTCCATTCCATAAAAATGGTTCCCATCCAAGATCTTCCTCCAGAATACCTCCAAATTGTCAACTCATTTTGCCTGGATGTCTCAGGTGGATTTTTTGTATTCAAGACAACATACAGAAAAGGATATGAGGTGAGATGAAGTAGGATATGCAAATAGGTGAATAGAGAGGATGATTGGTTGCAGTGACAGTTGATTCATGCGGTTGTAGTAGGAGAAAGAAAGGTCGAGATTGAGTGGATCTGCGGCCAGCCACCAGGTGGTGTTGTTGGGCCAGTCACGCTAAGAATATTCAATGTGCTTTTATAATCTCCCCCCAATATCTTTTTCCTTTACTCTTTTGACTGCTATGAGCCAAATGATCAGATGGGGCTTGTTTTCTTTTGCACGTAACTCATGTTTTTGCAAACAGCAGAATCATTCAGTCTGCCTGATGTCTGACACTTTCTTAATCATTTTCATCACAGATGTCTCTGCTAAAAACGTTTTCAATTTTTTACAGATGTATCAGATATCTCTAGGCATTTCTTGCATGGTATGCAGCTTTAGGCCTGGCAGTAAGAGGGTTAAGGAGTATGTCTAATCAGTCAGTCATTATTCTCACTTGTTTTTCCAAGATATCTCAACTGGGTGTCTCAAATTTCTCAGCATGGTCTAGAACTCATAGTTCAGCAAGAAGATGATAAATTAAAAATCTTAAATTTGTTATAGAGTAAAAAAATGTCACTAGGTGGTCTAAAAGAAAATTATGAGACACTATCTGCTCTGGGATGGAGCAATTGATTGGTGGAAGTTTTGCATCATGCTAAAATGGAAAACTGAAACTTTTCCTGCTATAGTTCCTGAAACTTCAAGGAAGTAAAAAACACTTGTATTTGCTGTCTGTCATCTAGTTTCTCCCAGCTTCTGTGTTTCATCTTTCTTTTCTTTGAGATAATCAAGTCTTAGCTTGTCAGCCTGTGAATCTACTTGATAACTTCAAGTTTTTATTTGCCATGGAGTGATTTCAAGATTATTCTGAAAATTCTTTTTGTTTCTTAATAATTAGTACCGGTGAGTGTTTCTATTAAAAAATTAAACATCTCTGAAACCATGAATGGTAGGAAGACTGGAAACATGTACAGATTAAGCATGACACAAGATCTGATGAAAAAGTTCTGAGATCAGATTAGGACACTGGTGACTCTTTCTGGCTTCCAATGTCTATATCCTTCAAAGTTTTCCTCCTTAGTGTCTACACATTTTTTGCAGCATTTCTTCAACCAATAGAAGCATCGCTGGCAAGCGTCTTTTGGAATTTCCAGCAGCGCTTGTGTCACGATTGTAGTGCTGCTTCGAATGTCCTGAAATCTCCTTCCTTTCAGCACACTCTATAGCTAAAGGAACAAAAAGAAATCACTGGGAGCCAAGTCCACCAAATAGGGAAGATGGTGAAGCATGGGGATTATAGGGTAGGTCATAAATTGCTGCATAGGAAAAACATGCTGCCCTGGGTGTTATGCTGCAGAATCCACAACCTTGCCTCCCACTTTTCTCATTCTGAAAATAAAGGATAGTGGGAAGCAAGGTTTTTCCCTTTTTTCTCTTTCTCCTTCTCACAGTGAGATAGTGAGTCTGAATCACTGTTTACCCCTTTGGTCTTACCTCACTGTGTTCACTCATCTGCACACTGCTGTTCACAGAAAGAGGAAAGGGGGAAGCAAGGTCATAGATTCTGCAGCATGACCATGCCCAGGTCCAGCACATCTTCACTGTGCAGCAATTTCTGACCTATCCTGTAAGGTGATAAGAATCACCATAGTGTCGTAAAAATTTCAGTCTCAGGACTTTTTGATCGGACCTTATATGTGTGTGATAGCTACCCTGCAATTACAATCCTTCACTTCTACTGCTTCATCAACTTGAATACCTAAACATGACAACTGGAGAAGTAATTATCTTTCAAGAGCTTTTTTTTATTATTATAGCAAATTGGGAAAAAAATGAAGAAGATGAGAGGATCCGGTTGATGGGTGTCAGAGACTTGGAATGCTTCTTAAGAGTCTCTTTCCCCAACATCAGCTTACAACTATTTGGCTCTTCTTGCAATGGGTTTGGGCTGAAGACCTCTGATCTAGATATTGGCCTCATTCCCTGTCCTACCTATGTGCCTGTAAGCCTCTCATAACCTCATAATAACTGTATAATCAAACATGTTGAGTTGAGTCACTTAAAAAATGCATTCTTTTTCAGCCTCCATCTGTGAATCAAATTGGGAAGATGTTACGCAAGTGTCGCTGGATCACAAAAGTCTTCACCATATCCCAGGCAAAGGTGCCTATTGTGAAGTTCACCCATAAGGATTTGAAACTTGATGGGGATATCAGCATTCTGGAAGATGGCGCCCTTATGAACACCAGGCTCCTAAAAGCATACTCCATGATTGATCCCAGAGTTAAAGTGAGACCATTGTGACCACTGTTTGAGAGTTGAAGCGTTAATTGTTGAAATAATGGTTGCTTCTCTCAGAAACATAGCAAAATTCCAGGATATTGCAAGTGTCATCATGAAGATGCATTTACTGAAAGACAGAAATTTTATGACCTAGCCAAGTTATAGAAACTTTGTCTTAGTAAAGTTTTTGTCTTTCTGAGTGAACTTCTGAATTGCAAGAATTTTTTGCAATTCATTCGTTGCATTCTTTTTAGGATTTTTTTTACTTTCAGATATTGGGATATGTCTGGAAGGTCTTTGGGGGAGCAACCTGTTTGTCACATGGATCTCGTGGATCCCTCACTTCATATGGTCTCATTCTTCTTCTTATTCACTTCCTTCAACGGACTTCTCCACCAGTTTTGCCTGTGCTGCAACAGGTAATGCTTTATTCTCATTTTTTTCATGTTAATAAATTTAATTTTTTTAAATGTGACATAAGAGCTTGGGCACACATCAATCATTAAAAAAAGGCAAATATAGTTTTTGATTCCATATATGGAGTTATACGAGATATGTATCTTTCAGAATGGTTTCATAATATTCCTTCTTTATTTCAAGTTGAATTTTGTGCCATATCATTTTCAACTCATGCCACTTGAAATGAACCCATGTTAGTGACTTAATTTATTTCCCAATTCAAGTTAAACTCTCACCTCTTCAAAAGGAACCTCTTCAGGAAGTGTTCCTGGGTTCACTTTTTGTTTTGTTTTGTTTCCAATAATTGACTGATCACTGAATTGACGAATCTATAAGGATCAATACAGAGAGTTTGTTCAAAGGTTATTCAGATTTTCTCATGGAAAATTGAAGAACAAAGTTGGGAAAGTCTAGTCATTCAGAAGGGATAGGAGTTTCCTGTCTATTTCTGATTTCTGGTTTCTTTTGAAGCTTAGTTTTGTAGTGCCAGTCTTGAAATTTGTAGAATCTATGGGGAACATTTCAATCTGTGCACATACTTTCAAAAGACTTTTATCGAGATCACTCTTGTCCAAATTTCATTAAATAGATCATGGAATAGTTATTGAGGGAACTAATAAGAATTAACCATGAAGAATAACAACTTCTACATTAATATGACAAGTGGTCATTGGATTCTTCCTCTCAGTTGGAGGGGAGTGGTTTTGAAGAAGTACAGACAAGAAAACCTGAACCCTTCTGTCACAATGTTTCATGCCTGGTGAGCAACATACTAGCAATTATTTTATGTGATATTTTCAAGTAATCATTCCTTTTTCAATTATTTTATGGCCATAATCCTGAGCCTTCTTTAGAAGTGTACATCCTAGTTTACACCTTTATATCTCCCGTTTTGGTTCTATCACAACCTTAGGAGACCTAGTTCGAAGAAGTGATGATACACTTCCTTAAACTGTACCAGTTTCTACAGTATAGACACGGGAGGGCTGGACAAATGACAAAGGTTGAGAAGGGTTGGAGTGAATTCTTTTTTCTCTGCATTGAAGGTGAGCATCATCTTCTAATGATAAGACCAGAGGCATGTAAATATCACCTAGTAGCTGTCATTGTAGAATTATGAAGGCAGATCATAAGCATGAATAGAATGTGCATGAAATTGTTGAGATCGTTTTGATATCCATAATTCCAAGGTCTATACCATTTTCTGTACATAATGGATAAATATTTATCTATCCAGGTAAACACACTCTTCAAAACATTTGATTAATCTGCAAAAGAAGAGTTTTTACTCCTTAGTGCTTCACTCTTCAGTGCAAACATTTTGCTAGCATGAGAATAGGAAGTAAAGAAGAAAGGTGAGATGAAAATGATTCCCAATTATCTGCCTGTTCCTAAGGGAAAAGACAATTTAGGCTTTTTTTAGTTTATATATATTTTGTTCTGTTTCTTTTATGATTTTCAAACATCAGAATAATTAGGAATGAAAACTGTAGATCCGTAGAACCATAGATGTATGCATGGCTACAGCCATTAATCCTTTGTGGTCCATTTTATTTGTAACACTATGGAGATTGTCTAACTCTGTCTGACAGTGGATCCCAAAGGGCTAAGAGTCTTCTTTTTCCATTTTTCTACTCAAGAACCTGCATTATGGGGTAATTGGGCATGCCAATTTCACTTTAGGGATTTCTTTATTTCAGTTTAAAAGGCACAACATAGATTATGAGAAATCGGATCGACTCCACAGTTGATACAGAGGTTACAGGGATTGTGTTTTAACTGTTCATCGGGAGTCACTTCATGTTGATGATGTCTTGGAGAAATAAAACCTGTTTTTAAATCGAAAAACCTTCGGTGAATCAATGAGCTCATGCTCTTGGGAAAGAGTAGAGTTGATATTAACATGCAGGAGAGTGTGAAGAGGTGCAAGTACAAAAACATTTCCTTTTTGCTGGGTTTTTCATTTGCAGGACCATATTTAATGTTTATATTTAATTGCAAATATTAAAGTATGACCCTCGTGAAAAAGGATTTGTTGTATATCACTGTCAATATGTTTGTGAATTGAATCCTTTTTCATGGTAACACTTTCTAGTAGATTGTATATTTTGCTTGAGGAATGTCTAACAGCTCATACAAAAAACAAAAAAAAATGTGTGGGTATGACAGGGAAAGTATACATTTTTGGGTCAATATTTACCCTGCAGGGTAGGATGGTCTATTTGTTGCAGCATAATTTTTCATGAATTTATTGCCTAATATTTACAACTTTTGTCTGTCTTTCAAGATCCCATTACCCCAGATGTCAACATTGCCAAAAATATGTCTCATGAGAAACGTGAGTGCATCATTTTTTAAATCCTTTTTTAAATTTTAGGGACTCCAGCACTTAAGTAATTTTTCTTTGCAGATTTCAATAGATTCAAGGACATCCTAAGCAAGGCATTGGCTCACTTTACTTCACCTGTCAACAAGATCCCTGTGATGTATTCATCATTCCCTGTGAGCCTTCATATTATTCTTATTATTATTCTTCCTGCTATTTCTGGTATACAGAATGACAATTAATGTGCAACTATTAGAAGCTCACTATTCATGAATTGTTCTGGGTGTATGTGCAATGTAAGTTTCTGTGACTAGAATACCTTGTTCATCAAATGTTATTTTTCTAAATTGCATACATATAATGCCCTTGTGCACAATGTCAAAGTACCAGAACACAATTGGAATGAATTGCATGAAACTGTTCTAGTTCTGGTTAACGAAGTAAAACGGTATTGAGTCTGTCATATTTCAGCTTTTTTGCAAACTTGGGAATTTGGAAACATCCATGTGGACTACAGCCATTTTTACTTAAGTCCCTGTACTATACTTTCTATACTTTTAGAGGATCGACACCTCTACATCCTATGCAGTCAAAAGAAAAGCAAAGAACAGAGGAAAATGCTACTTGCAAATGGTCATTTTGCAGAAGAAGCTGCTATGGCCCCAAAGTAAAGAAAAAGTAGCATCTCCTGAGTCACCTTCCAAATGTTCTGTTATCTGATTAAGAAATTAGTGAAAGCATCTGCCTAGGTCCAGATTTACTCCAGTCACCATAGACACTATTTTGCACTAGATGCTACCACCCAAATATCATCAGTGAAGCTTCATTGGTTCTCAAAATGCAGCAGCATAGATGTTATCACCCATTTAGGATGCTATGGCATCTTCAGACAGACTGAATGTAAAGAAAAGCAAAAGTGACCTTGTAATATCTGCTAATTTCCAATGGGTTGAATCGAAATTGGCAAATCAAAAGGAACGATTTTTTGAGGCAACTGCCTCAATGCATATGACCATCAGCACAGTAGGAGCAATGCATGAATCAGAAAGAGGTGAAGGTCAAGTATGTGAAATTTCCTGAATTGCTAGTATTATAAAATATGTAAAATTATGTATTGTGTACAGCACAGTACCTTTTGTTGATTTCATGTNGAACGATTTTTTGAGGCAACTGCCTCAATGCATATGACCATCAGCACAGTAGGAGCAATGCATGAATCAGAAAGAGGTGAAGGTCAAGTATGTGAAATTTCCTGAATTGCTAGTATTATAAAATATGTAAAATTATGTATTGTGTACAGCACAGTACCTTTTGTTGATTTCATGTTTCTATTAGCGGCCAGTCTACAAGAAAAGACACCTTTTCATTGGCACTTTGACATTCGAAAATAAATTTATTTCTCTATTTCTTTGTGGGAAGCAGTATTGCTACTAATGAAAGAGCAATACTAACCATGGCAAATGCCAAGAGAATGAGGCTCATAGGTCATGGGGTTGCAGAGTAATCATTAGCCAAAGATAGGAGCCAAGTCAAGATGTTCATCATTGTGTCTATGTAACAAGGATGGTAATGTGGGAGCTTAAAACTCATTATAGGGTATATGAGTGTAATAATGCATTGCAGTCAATCTTAAGCTTGAAATAAGAACATTATCATTTCTGAAAACCTGTTTTTCATTGTATTTGGTTGGTATCAAGTGCCATCATGTATGGGAAATTCATTGCCAAGTGCTGATATTATGACCCAGAGGACTGAAGCAGATTATAAATTTAATGTATGTTTGCAACAATTTGGCATATATAGCCTTCAGCTTGACATTGATCATTGCTTATTGGAATATGGCTTACTATGATCTTGAGTACTGAAATGTATGGGAGGTTACTTTAAGATGATACTACCCAGAGACCTCTTAGCTACTGCAGAAGCCAATACAAGGAGTAGCTGCCCAGGAGTATTGTGGATTCTGCAAAGAGACATGTGAATGAATTTGCTGGTCTGTTGAGAAAGACTCATAGCCCTGTTCTTTCTACTATACAATAAATTCTGAAGTTGATGATAGAGAGAAACCCAAATGTAAGCAAAATAGACTGTTGACCAAAAGGGATTTTTGTGGCAGTGCAGGCCCAAGGCATAAACTTTGAGGTGGCAGTTTTCAGTGGTAGCTCAACCCTTGTTGAATCTGATAATGGCAATCATCTACTAAAATGCAACCATTCTGTATGAGCACTTTTATTGA